TAAATCACCCTTTCATGCCTTAAAGACTCGTTGTCTTCAGTGTGTAAATCGCACACATATAAATCGTAATGTTATTCACGGGCTTCTCGTGAAAAATAATATGAAATGATTCGCGCGTCAACGTGTGATCGCTTCGCCGCATCGCGAAGTCGAACTCTCTTATTTCTTTTCTCTCTCTTCTTCGCCGGGCATTTATTCACCACTTTCATCCACGTTCGTTCTATTCCACACGCAGTAATATTCTGTCTCGAAAATGCCGATAAGCGATCGTTCGTCGTGAAACGTGATACGGATTTAAGTGCCGAATATCGTTTAGCTCACTCGATCCGTAAAATAATATACGTCGTGGTTTGTAGCGATAAGTCCCGATCAGAATTCAGCGGAAACAGTGGATTTTTTTCAGGATTATCTATAAAACGTATCTCTTGTAAATTAAAGATTGCGCAAAGTGTGCAGGTGATTTGCGCGATAAGAACGAAGCGCAAGACACGAGGAAAAATAAGATGCACTGAATGAATGCACGTTGCCTTCATTCACAAGAAGAATTAAAATTTAATTTCCTACGATCATTGATAATTCACTTTTTTTTCTCTGTGTGTGTGTGGATAGTCGAATAAATTATAAACAATTTATCTTTTATCTTCTATTTTCTAAATTATCCTCAAAAGAAAGATGAAAAATATATTCAAACTTATATTTATACTTTCAGAATAAAAAGTATTCCTGTCACTTGAGATTTGTACAAAGAAATAAATGAACGATCTATTACAACAAGATATTACGTTTCCATGTGTTCAGTCACTTCATATAATTCTAGCAGAAAAATAAAAATTCTTTAGAGAACATTGTCGTTAAAATCGTAAAAGAATTAAGCGTACGGTGAATCGCTGCTCCGTAAGATGCGAGCCTCAAAGCGGACTCGCTTCGCCGATCTGCGCCGATGCATGTGCACCGCGGTCGCTGATGCAGCGTGTACGTGTGTGACGTTACGTAAACATTACGTAAACAATAATAGGCGAGCTCTGTGCCGGCCTGCGGAACAACGTTTCGACGCCGACTGTTGCCGCCAACCGATGAGAGATGAATCAAGTTACCTCTCGGTCCGACGGACGCGCTTTGACGCGAGTGAACCGACAAAAGCTATGCGCCATGGCTTCGAGCGAGAAACGCGTTAATTGTACAATAGTCTGAATATACCGAGTATATAGGATATCGCGAAAGTTGCACATCTCTCTAAATACTAGAATACAAATTAAGACGATTGTTTCGAGTGGGCGACATGTTAATTCGGAAAGGGTTAAAAATCAAAGTCAGAAATAGAGTCATTATCGATATCTAAAGAAAGATTATGATTAGGAAGATTTTAATTTAAAACTTAATTTTTTTAATTTTGAGACATTTATTATTTAAAATGAAACGTTGTAAAGAAAACAGAATTAAATTAAGATGTATTAAGATATTTCGTATTTGTATTAAAACCGAGCCTTATTAAAATCTTTATGCAGCATTTTTAACATATTCGAGTGTTAATTTAATATAACGTATTATTTGAATATTTTGCGTTAAATTGATATTCAACATTTTTTTATTACAATAATGACATAATGTATAACATTTGTAATATGTTCAATTAATATATTTTATTCATTTATATAAGAAATATATACTTCTCTATAAATTGCTTATAATGTTACATTTTTCGTGTTAATTTTTTACATATTTGTATTACTTTCATCTTATATTAAATTAACACAATAATTTGCTGGATCGTTAAGGAAAACGTTACGTAAAACGTGTCAAATTTAACACAAATTTTCCAATTGTACGGAGATTGCGATGGAAAGAAAAGAACCGAGTTATTTTCATCGTTAAAAATATTTTAAATGTTAAGAAAATTGTGCTTTTAGGAATTATAACAACGAGTCACCGTGTAGGCTTCTAGGAACACGCACGCGAAAGAGGCAATTCCGACACACACGACGACGGCGAGAATGAATGATCGTAAGCGTGAAGAAGATGAGAAGTGGGTAGATGGTTGACAGAGACAGCATCGATCGCCGCTGTGGTCAATGAAACTGATGCGCGTCGAAAGGGAAGCGTGATCGGTGAAGGGACTATAATGTATAGCGTATATGATACGCGATCAAAGTAAATTGCTCCTGCAATACAAGCGCCAAGATGACGTACGTGCAAACGTCCATCATAGTTTAATATTTTGCTCCGTAACGCATCTTTATTTATAAAATCGAATGTAAATATATGCGTATAAAAGAATACAATTAACTGAATAATTAAATGAACAAACAAAAAAAATATAGTAAAAATAATTTTATCATAATGTAATTATTATAATATAATATTACATAATATAATATTACGCGTTACATCAGATTACACTCATCAGATTTCATTTTCTGATCTCAGCAGAAAATAAAATATGATGCATTATAGAAAAATACAAATAATAAATAAGATTTAATAGAAATATGGAAATTTTTTTCTATTTCTTGAATTATCCCAAATTATCCTTTGAAAGTTGAAATAAACTTATATTTACATGTTCAAAATAAAAAATATTCATATATTCCTATGTCAAATAATTTACATTTGAAACTTTGTATTATTATAAAGCTTTTACCTTAAAGCTTTAAGCTTTTGTAGAGTAGTAAAATCTTATTTTGGTTTTCTCATGTATATAAAAACGTAATCTTACTGATTCGTTTATAAAAATGTTTATAAAAATGTAATGTTACTAACTCGTATAATCTTATCGCGGAACATCCCGTTTAACATAATAAACGTATTCGAAAATTCGAAACAAAAAAAATTAAAAATTAAAAACGCTGCGTACAAACTGCAGAAACGGCTATCTGGCTAGCTGATATTAAACCGGCAATAAAGAGTCAGACCAGGCTGCAACGGCCTTTTATTTCGGCTATGTCGATTTCATGAATTACGTTGCGACGCGCGCACGCAATTCCCATAAACGCAATTGGCGGCGGTCCGTCGCTCGTTAAACGCGAAAAAAATGTACTACACCTCGTTAAACGTCATCAGTCGTTAATGGACACCCGTTT